CATTTCTATTCTCTAAATCTGTAATTTCATGTTCAAATTACTATTTAGTAAACTAACCCAAATGTAGGGAGGGGATAGCAAAACACTGCAAACATGAATAAATGTGAAAAGTGAATAAATACAGATTGATGTACTAGACAGTAAATTGCGAGCTTACTTGCAAAATACAGACTGACACAGCCAAAATGTAACTATAGCTTATAATACTTTCAATTATCTTGGCCTGAACTGTGTTATCTGATTTCCACTGAAAGCTGATATTTTTCAATAGACTGCTTGAAGTGAATATACATACTGTTTGATATAGTAACTATCCTCCAGAGGGAGCCAAAGTACCTAATAGACCTAATAGAGTGCATAGTACACTTTGGACTTTATTCACTTACTAGAAATAAAAAAAAAAATTTTTGGTCAAAATAGCCTAACTGGCTTGGTTTAAAAAAAATATATATAATAAATAATAATTATGTATATATTTAACTAGGCGTTTTTTCCAATTAAGTGGTATAGGTTCTCTTTGTAATGGCACAAGTTAGCAAAAACATTTTTAAAACATAGACTATGACGGCAGATAAGAACCATTCGGCCCATCTAGTCTTCCTGATTTTCTAAATACTTTCATTAGTCCCTAGCCTTATCTTATAGTTAGGATAGCCTTATGCCTATCCCACGCATGCTTAAACTCCCTCACTGTGTTAACCTCTACCACTTCAGCTGGAAGGCTATTCCATGCATCCACTACCCTCTCAGTAAAGTAATACTTCCTGATATTTTTAAACCATTGCCCCTCTAATTTAAGACTATGTCCTCTTGTTGAGACCTGAGCGGGGACTAATTGAATGGCAAGTTACTGAGTTTCCCGGATCTCAGAGTTCTCATATGCTGTTTTTGTTGCAGTGCAATTTTTTCAACTTCTTCATTTTGCCCTAACAGTTGTAATTCGAATTTACAATTCATTGTTTATTAAATAAATGGCAATGATTCAATGCATGTCTATGAGGAAATACAGAATGGAGTAGCACTGTGTTTTGACGCGCATGTGAAATAGCCTCCCCAATGCTTTACTATGAAAAAGCAATATATTGGCAGAGATCATCAAGGTTTAAAACATTTTTTTGCTCACTTGCGCCATTAAAAAGTGACCGGCGTAGCGAGGAAGAAAAGGCAAGTTTGATCACCTTTAAACTCCATGGAGAGGGGGGCCGGTCACCTAAACATCTATTCAAGCACTCTAGAGTTCCTTTAATACAACTGGACAAGGCCAGCATTTCTAAGTAACAAGAAATAGTGATAAATGCAATGAGAGGAGGTGGATGAAAAAAATCACAATAAACAAAGCCTGAAATCCTGGAATGTGGATGGCAGTAAAAATAATTGTCATGTTACCTTCATTTACAATCTGTATAGTCACTAACAACTGTAAATTCAGGTTACAGTTGAGAGCCAGAAACTAATTTGTCTTTTCACTTGCGGATAATTGGTTCCCCCAGTTACGACAGAAAACATAGGAACAAGACCAAACTTATTATATTTAGTGAAATAAACGCACCTATATTTACAAAAGTTAGAAATCTGTCATGATGCGTAATACAGAGCATTCAGCTACCGTATTACACCAGTAATGTAGATGCAAAATAGTACAGTATCTTTTAATACCTTTTTTCTTGCATGAACATAAATTCACTGGCTGTCAGGAAGACATCCATTAAAGATGTGCTTAAAGGGACACTAAAGGCACACGGACCACTTTATGTCATTTAAGTGGTTTGGGTGCAGTGCCCCGGTTCTCTTAACCCTGCAATGTTAAACACTGCAGTTTGAGAAACTGCAGTACTTACATTAAAGGGTTAAGATTGCCTCTAGAAGCTGTCTACCACACAGCCACTAAAGATGTTTCCTGAAGTTTGACTCTGTGAAACCATGTTGGACGCCCTTACGCTTTGTATGAACATGTCCAACGTGTTGAAAATCCGCATATGAAAGCATTGAGGCAATGCTTTCATATGGAGATGACCTAATGTAGCTAGTGTGCATTAGGTTCACCCCATCAGCTGACGTTGACAGAGGAGGTGCCCTACCGAGCGCCAAGTGGCATCAGCACTGGGATCGGATAAGTGAATAAAGGGTTTTTTACCCTTTACATGCCACTGCGGTGGCCACAAGGGAGGAAGGGGCCAGAGGGCACTATAGAGTTAGCAGTACAGTTGTGTATTCCTAACACTATAGTTTTCCTTTACCTATTAATGCTGACATTGCTGTTTTTATAAAACAGTAATATTTTATATTAAAGGCTTAAAACTATAGGAATCTGCACACAGACAACTTCACTGTGTTGAGTCTGGGTGACTTAAGTGGTCCTTTAAATGCTTGATCACAATAGATTTTTATTTAAACACACTAACACATTACAAAATGTAATTTAAAGGATTATTACAACCACCATGACCACTTCAGTGATTTGAAGTGGTCATGGTGGTAGGAATCAGTATGTGCAGTGTTTCAGCTTGGAACACTGCACATACAGAGTTAATTTTAATTGTGTGCTGAAGCTAGTTGTAACCCCCAGCACACAATTCATAATCAGCCCAGTATGCTGTTCAGGGCTGCTTAATGTCAGTTCTGTGCATCTACCCCCAAGATAGTTTCCCCTCCCTCATTCTGATACTTGTATTTATTTATTACATTACCTATCCCATCCTCCCTCCACCGCTTTAGATTGCACACATGCACTCTGAGCCATTGAAATGATCCTATAACAGGCTTCTCTGTGAGAAGTCTGTGATTGAACTTTGTGAGGACCATGTTAGGTCAGATGGAGGCGTGGAAGACAGCCTGAAACCTTAGTCCAGCGCTAGATATCAGGTATGTAAAATACTTATTTTTGCAGTTCATATTGCAAATGAAGAGAGGAGATGAGTCTAATTAATTAACACTATAGGGCATTTTACACTGGAAAGCTATCCCCTTTGCCCCCTCCCAAAAAGATTTGGCGTACCCCCTTTAACCTAATCATGACTGATGACATATTGATAAAAAGTATAAATGAAACAAGTGCATCACTCCTTAAAGGTACAATATAGTTTTAGAAATACAAACAAGAATTCCTCTACCTTTTTAGGAGTGCACCCCATAGAGGTCTAAGAGGTGAGTTTTTACTTGGTTTTTGTCACTGCTGTTAGATCGGTAAATATGTGAGATCTAACATAAAAAACTCATTCTTTTGTGGTTTAACAAAGAGCTGCTAGCCTCAATGTTTTTTTTTTGGGGTGGGGGGGTTGCTAGAATTTTTCACAGGAGGTGGCTGGGTGGGCACTTCCCCACTTCATTAAATACCTAATATCACACATATGTGAGATGTAAATAAAAAAGTTGATCAAACAAATCTCTACCAAAATAGCGGTTTGTGCAAAGATTTGTTTAGGGACTGGTGACGACTAGTTAGCCTCCCATCAATAAACTATTAATCTAACAATTTGCATAAGTTTTTCGCTAGAAGAAGAAGAAGAAAAAATAAATAAAGATTGTGGGGGTGATAACAAAATATGTAATATCAACAAAGCTTTTAAATCATATATGTTTCTTGGGAATTCCACAACCCATTCCAATATATAAAATGTCCACATGTCCAGCTGTGGAAGTGATTACTTTTATTACTTGTTGGTGAAATTTTTGTTTTTATTAAAATGCATTGCAGATAAAAAAAATAAAATAAAATAAAAAACACACAATCCCTGCCCTTATTTAGCTGCAGAGTCTGAACAAATAAATAAATATATAAATACAGTTTTTCTAGAGATTTTGTAAAACATGCATAGTGCATGGAAGCTGACACTTGGCCCCACATGTTTGCATGCATGCATGCTTTTAGCATGTCCATCCCATGTTGTTCATGCACACATTATATTATAAAATGATCCCATAACCCCCTACATTACAGGGTCCCATGAGCTGGTCTGTTAGTACATAGAGTATGCAGGAGACAGCACATAAATACTGTACATGGAAAAGCCGGGTCCTCTCTCACGTGGTCTTACTGTCCTCACTGTGTCTTCCGCCTTTAAAGATCCCGACTAGCACTGGGTTCTGATGGTTGAAGCCACGCCCACAAACACTCACCATGCTGGGCAGCCCAACGCGCATGCGTCTTTGAGTTGGCGAGGCTTGAAGTCGTTCTGCGCATGCGTGTTTGCAGTGGTGAGGCCTGACGTCGTTCTGCGCATGTGTGTTTGCATTGGTGAGTCCTGGAGACGTTCTGCGCATGCTCCGCAATATCTGCCTCCATCCATGTTGTGAAAACAATTTTAAACATTTTGGTAGAAATCCAAAAGCAAGTCCAAAATTAGACAAGAGTTTTTTCAGGAGTTTTTTTTTTTTTTTTGCTTTTTAAATAAATAAATTTAAATAAAAATATGTAAGAGAGAAAATGTAACAATGTGTGCAACTAAAATGTAATTTAGAAAAATAATAATTTGCACAAAGTGATTTAAACACATTACTCTGAATTGCATTGCTCTAAGACACACCAACAATGTGGTATAATGAGTGCCTGGAAAAGGGTAAATTAGGAGAGAAAAGAGGGACAGGTGGACTTGTGCCCACAATAGGCTCCATGGGGGGTATGATTATATAGCAGACAATAAAGGCTTTATTCTATTGTGCCATAGAGATAGTGTAACATTCATTAATTATGCTGATGTCTTTTGGAATGCATTTTGTGCCTTGTAAATCCAGGATACTATGTTACACTATGTGGAATAGTCAGCCTTAGAACAATACAAAACAAACATTAACAGAGCATGCAGTGTGCTGTGATAAGGTGGGTCTTATTAACTAAACAGTGAGCTTTACTGGATTAAGAAAACTAATTGCAAAAATATCTGATTTGTAAAGAAAAAAAAAACAAGTCTCTCTTATGGAATTTTTTTATTTTTTATTTTTTTATTCACTTCAATTCACAGCTTAGAAAATCAGTACTTCCAGTGACGTCATACCTACCTGCCAGAAACTAAAATGTCTTCTCCAGCTTCCACAGCAGCGCTGTGATTGGCTGACGGGACATTTCCTTGGTGTGACGCCACATCCGTTTCCGGCGACCTTCAGAGCATGTGTGAAAAGTGAAGCTTCTCTGGGATTCTGTCTATTGATGTCTTAACAGAGGGATCGACATGAGCTGGAGCTTATATAAAATACCTGTGAACAGGTAATGCATGGTGATCACATGTTTCAAGGAATATACAGTGCTACTGCCATCCTGTTAGCTATAAGCTTTGCCATTGGGCATGTTGTATAATTACATTGCTCTTGCATCATGGGAAATGTAGTTCTCCTGATTCTAGAGTGCCAACATTAGTCATGGTATGGTAAATCAAAACATGTTTAGTTTTATTCTTATGTGTTGTTATATTATAGTACACTTTAAAAAAAAGTTTACATTTGTTAAATAGTTTTGTTTTATTTTAAATGACCAGTCAAGTATAATAGGTGTATGCAAAATAGTTGACTTTTCGATCATCAGTTTCAAAATAATTAAGGGATGCTCTTAGCACCATTGTATCTTGCTGTAGTAGCTATGGTGCCAGCATGCTCCCGGAGCTGTCCCCAAGCCCCTTGATCTCGGTATTGCTATTAGCGCTTTTTTTTTTTTTTCTTCAAATTTGGACAGCATTTGTTGGCTAAGCGTTCCCTTAATACCCGAAATATGCTGGGACCAGAACCAGTAGAGAGGGTCGTAGTGCTTAGAGATACCATTTAACCTTTTTTTTTTCTGTTACGGTAAATTCACTGAACAAAATTATAAACGCAAAACTTGTTTTTGCCCCCATTTTTCATGAGCTGAACTCAAATATCTAAGATGTTTTCTATGTACAAAGAAGGACTTTCTCTCAAATATTGTTCACAAATCTGTGTTAGTGAGCACTTCTCCTTTGCCGAGATAATCCCTCCACCTCACAGGTGTGGCATATCAAGATGTTGATTAAACAGCATGATTATTGCACAGGTGTGCCTTAGGCTGGCCACTCTAAAATGTGCAGTTTTATCATACAGCACAATGCCACAGATGTCACAAGTTTTGAGGGAGCGTGCAATTGGCATGCGGACTGCAGGAATGTCCACGAGCTGTTGCCCGTGAATTGAATGTTCACCATAAGTTGTCTCCAAAGGAGTTTCAGCGAATTTGGCAGTACATCCAACCGGCCACACCAGCCTGGAACCTCCAAATCCAACATTTTCACCTCAAAGATCGTCTGAAACTTGCCACCTGGACAGCTGCTGCAACAATCCGTTTGCATAACCAAAGAATTTCTGCACAAACTGACAAACTGTCTCAGGGAAGCTCATTTGCATGCTTGTCTTACTCATCAGGGGCCGCGACCTGACTGCAGTTCGTCGTCGTAACCGATTTGAGTGGGCAAATGCTCACATTCGATGGCATCTGGCACTTTGGAAAGGAATTCTCTTCATGGATGAATCCTGGTTTTCGCGGTACAGGGCAGATGGCAGACAGCGTGTATGGCATAGTGTGGGTGAGTGGTTTGCTGATGTCAACATTGTGGATCGAGTGGCCCATGGTGGCAGTGGGTTTATGGTATGGGCATGTATGTAATGCACAACGAACACAGGTGCATTTTATTGATGGCACAGATATACCGTGACAAGATCCTGAGGCCCATTGTTGTGCCATTCATCCACGACCATCACCTCATGTTGCAGCATGATAATGCACGGCCCATGTTGCAAGGATCTGTACACAATTTCTGAAAACAATCCAGTTCTTGCATGGCCAGCATATTCACCACATATGTAACCCATTGAGCATGTTTGGATCTGTGTATACGACCGCATGTTCCAGGTTCTGCCAATGTCCTCAACTTCAAACAGCCATTAAAGAGGAGTGGACCAACGTTCTACTGGCTACAATCAACAACCTGATCAACTCTATGCGAAAGATATGTGTTGCACTGCGTGAGGCAAATGGTGGTCACACCAGATACTGACTGGTTTTCGGCCAGCCTAAGGCACACCTCTGCAATTATCATGCTGTCTAATCAGCATCTTGATATGCCACACCTGTGAGGTGGATGGATTATCTCAGCAAAGAAGTGCTCACTAATACAGGTTTAAACAGATTTGTGAACAGTATTTAAGAGAAATAGGCCTAGACATAGAAAAAGTCTTAGATCTTTGAGTTCAGCTCATGAAAAGTATGGGCAAAAACAAGTGTTGTTTTATAATTTTGTTCAGTGTAGTTTGATACTACATATCAGCATATCTTTGTAAAGTAATCAAATGTGAGCAGGATATTGCTTTACTGCAGAGGGATTTGGATAGATTGGGGGAATGGGCACTAAAATGGCAGATTAAATTTAACGTAGAGAAATGCAAAGTTATGCACTTCGGGGTTAAGAATGGACAAGCAACTTACACACCTAAATGGTAGTGAATTAGGAATAACCACACACGAGAAGGATTTGGGAATTGTTATAGACAACAAATTAGGCAGCAATATGCAATGTCAATCTGCAGTTGCTAAGGCCAGTAAGATTTTGTCATGTATAAATAGGGGCATAAATTCTCGGGATGAAAATATAATTTTGCCTCTTTATAAATCGCTGGTAAGACCACACCTTGAATATGCTGTGCAATTTTGGGCGCCTGTTCTAAAGAAGGATATCATGGCACTGGAGAGGGTCCAGAGACGAGCTACAAAATTGATAAAAGGAATGGAGCATTTTAGTTATGAAGAAAGGTTAAAAAAAATTAAATCTGTTTAGTTTGGAAAAACGGCACCTGAAAGGGGAAATGATAACTTAATACAAATATATTCGGGGCCAGTTTTATCTGGAAATCTATTCATAAACAAGGCTATACATAGGACACAAGGTCACACATTTAGGCTGGAAGAAAGGATATTTCATCTAAGGCAAAAAAAGGGTTTTTTTACAGTAAGAGCAATAAGGATATGGAATTCTCTGCCTGAAGTCAGTCATTACAGATGTTTAAACTGCAATTGGATAAATACTTACAAAAACATAACATACAGGGATATAATTTCTAATTAGTGGGGTAATAGCTGCTTGATCCAAGGAGACATCTGACTGCTATTTTGGGGTCAAGAAGGAATTTTTTCCTAGTTTGTGGCAAAATTGGAAGCGCTTCAGACTGGGTTTTTTGCCTTCTTTTGGATCAACAGCGAAAAACAAATGTGAGGAAGGCTGAACTTTATGGACGCAAGTCTCTTTTTAGCAATGTAATATCTAGCCAATTGGCTGTGTGTGTATTTATATTAAAACACATTTCATATGACAGAGACCCTTTTGGAAGATAATAAATATTACAATTTATGTTTTGTGATTATATCAGATGTTGAAAGAAGGAGCATGTATGTAAAAGCATAGCTGGTGGAATGGTGTGTGTGATACAAACATTATAGGATAGCGGCAATCTTTATAAACTTTAGAAGATCTTGGAGTTGCTCAAGTCTTTTTCTAGGTAATTATTAGTCCTCATCAGTTGAACGTCATTATTCCTATGTTGCATTTTCTTTTTTTTTTCTTCAAAAGGTGCACTCATAACCCCAATATGCCCTTATCAAGGTCTTGGTAACACAAATGTATTTTTGAAACGGGAATGAGACCTCTTCACACACTCGCATTCATGAAAGCGAACAAGTCTCTTCACTTATAGAGGTTACATACATCACTAATACGCATCCTTAGAAATTGCGGTCCACAGCACTACGACTAACAAATGGTTAATAATTATCAGAGCCAATCAACATGGCTTATACAGGTACCTGCCATAATTTACAAGATAGATTAATAGGTGTTGTGAGCAGTCATGGTTTGTAAATCAATTAAAAAGTGCAGAATATTTTTTTTTTCTCTTGTAAAAACACTAGATTGCTGGAGGTTTTTATGTAACAATGTTGTTGTTTTTTTAATCTATTATAGGATAAGTCGACCTCTTGCGTTGGTCTGTCATGTTCGAACACTTCATTTAAAAGTCAACCCGGACTGCAAAGAAGATGATCCCTCCAAACCGCTGAAATTCTCTACTAGTAAAGCCAGTCACAGACATTGGTCTTTTGAGAAGTCAATGGGTAGTGAGGACAAGAGACCATTATGGAAAGTTTTGCCAGTGAGTTTCCTAATTGGATCCATCCTGATCTGGGCATCCTTCAGAGAAGAAACTGAAATTGATGAACAGATTTACAAACCTATTGAGCAACTCCAACCAGCCCCTGAGATAAATGAAACGGACACAGAAGTAAAAAAATAATTTTTTTTTAAATTTTTTTTTTTTTAACACGAGGATGGTCTTACTAAACTTTATTTACGAGAAGGGGGTCTACCTGATCTACAACTGTGCATGGGAATACTATGGTTGCTTGATCGCTAAGAAAAAAACACCTGACACACCATTCAGTGAAAGATTTAAACATTGCTGATCAGTGGAAGGTGCATGTATAGTGTAAATAAAATTATACCAGAGATACTTAAAGAAAGTGAATGTTCATGGAGGTTTTAAAAGGTGCTTGTTGCTGTATGTGAATGTAGGCTTGGTTCATGTATGTTAAACATGCTTTTAATTCAATGTACATCATCTGTTACCATACTGTTATGGTTAACATACAAGATGGGGGGGGGGTTGTTTGTAGCATGGTTAGAATGACATAAAAACAGACTTGGAAGCTGAATTTATTTAAGACGGTTTATTGCTGCAGTACCTTTAAAAGGCAAAGATGCACTTTTACAGGGAATGTGAGTGCTCTGGAGGTTTATTTACTCCAATGGCCATTGGAGGGAATGCCCACCAGCCAAACTGGGGAGGTTTGCCTTGACATTGGCAGGCGGGCATTCCCTCCAATGGCCATTGGAGTAAATAAATAACCTCCATTTGTTTAAATATACATAGGGATTTAGGAGAGAGCGCAGGTAACTTTTTTTTTTTTTTTTCTCTTTGGTTTTTAAAATAAATATAAATGAATTTTATATAAAAAAAAAAAATTTTTTTATATATATATTATACTCTGATGTGTACTTTGGTCGTTGCTGCCGCCCAGGAGTGACGGGAGTGAGCGCAGAACTTGTAATCTTTAATAAGTGTTGGAATTAAAATTCCTATCTGGCAATGAATGAAAAATAACAAGTGGATATGCCTAGATCTATACATATCTCCTTCTAGTAAAGATTTTAAAGGGACATTTTAAGCACCAGAAACACTATTGCGTAGCATAGTGGCTGTTCCACAAAGAAACTGTCCCTGCTATTTCACCAGTGTAAACCCTGCCATTTTGTTTAGAAAAATGTAGTGTTTACACTGCTTTCTATGGATATCTCTCAGAACAGCCACTGGAGGCGTTACCAGTTGCATCTTCACTCTCAGCATGAAAATTCAGAACATTTGCAGCAGAGATGCATTGCTACATTGCACATGCATTGAATTGGCTGAGATCAGTCATTGATGATCTGAGCCAGGGTAGAACAGCAGCTGCATCAAGACAACTGCATGGTGAGAGACTAACAGCGAGTACATGTTAATTTGACTTTTCATGGCAGTACATACAAATGGAAATTGGGTTATAAATAGAAATTAGCTTAAAGGGACAGTAACACTAGAAATACAAACATCTACTACAGAATGTTGGCAGAGGCAAGAAATGGGTTGAAGTTCATGTAATAATTTAATTATTTTCCGTAGATGCACGATCATTTTATTTCTACCTTCAGAAACTGATAAATAGATTAGCTTAACCCCTTAAGGACACATGACATGTCATGATTCCCTTTTAGTCCAGAGGTTTGGTCCTTAACGGGTTAAAGGGACACTAACAATACAGTTTCTGAAGGTAGAAAGAAAATGATAGGTGTGCATCTACAGAAAATAAAGGGAAACTATAGTCACCTGAACAACTTCAGCTTAATGAGGTTGTTCAGGTGCAAACTACAGCTCCATTCAGCCTTTCTTATGTAAACACTGTATTTTCTGAGAAAATACAGTGTTTACATGAGTATTTTCTGAGAAAATAGTGTTTACAGTGAAAGCTAGGAACACCTCCAGTTGCAGTCACTCAGAGTGAACCAGAGGGACTTCTGAGTTGGAGGCATAATATGCCTCCATCCACTCAGATCTGCTGTGCACGAGCATCCTGTGATTCAGTATCTCCTCCCACTGCATGCAGACACTGAACTTTCCTCATAGAGATTCATTGATTCAATTCATTTCTAGGAGGAGATGTTGAATGGCCAGGGCTGTGTTTGAATAATGCTGGCTCTGCCCCTGATCTACCTCCTTGTCAGTCTCTGCCAATCCTATGGGGAAGCACTGTGATTGGATCAAGCTATCACATGTCAGCAGACTGCTTGTTTTTTCCCTGAGTTTAACAGCATGCAGATTTACAGCTTCTGGCTTGAATACAGTAAGATTTTTACTATATTTATGGAGGCATGAGGGGCCCAGGGGGGCTAGATGGTCATGTTAAAACTATAGGGTCAGGAATACATGTAGTTGCACTGGTGACTATAGTGTCCCTTTAAATTTGTAAATCAACTTCAAAACAAAATCTTAACTCCTTGCTTTCCTACCATCATTTTGTTGGTCAGTTGCAATTGAAAAGTTCTGCAGGAGATGTTGGTGTTGTAAAATGGTAAACTATTTTGGATAACTAATCTAGCTAACATACGATGAAGGTTTTATTATTTGTAGATTGTCTTTAGAGGACAGTATTGCAGTGTGATGGAAAACCATTGGACTACAAACCTGCCACCTAATCGATAATACAACTAGCTATTTCATATTCAATGTCATGATATCACTGATCATGTAGCTCGAATAAGTTCACAAAGTTGCACACACAAAAAAGTAAATAAAATGCATTGAAACAGTGAGTGCAGCCATGATGATGCTGGGGAAAAGAAAAAACCTCAGCACTTAGTTTGAGAAGTTTAACATTAACTGTTTTAATATATCCTGCCAGGACATGTGAAAAATCAGTTTTTCACAGGTGAATGTAAAAGTTTCCATGAATTAAATCTCTAAAGGACCTCAAGGAGGGTTGTTAGCTTAACTGTAAAAAAAATATATATATATAGAATTTAAAGTTTACTTAATATATGAAAAACTGAAGAGCTGCCTTAAAGAGTTTTTCAAATTCAGATATTGTGGCTTAAAATTCACTTTGAATTAGGGATCGACCGATATTGATTTTTCAGAGCCGATACCGATATTCTGTGAACTTTCAGGCCGATAGCCGATATAATTTGCCGATATTCTGTACATTTACCAAAATAAAAACTATTTCTAAAGGTAAATGCACAAAATATACATGCCACGTGTAGTGGATGCAGTGTGACAGGGGAGCTGTGTGTGTGTGTAGTGGATGCAGTGTGTGTTTGTGTAGTGTGTGTGTTGTGGATGCAGTGTGTGTTTGTGTAGTGTGTGTGGAGGATGCAATGTGTGTTTGTGTAGTGGATGCAGTGTGTATTTGTCTAGTGTGTGTAGTGGATGCAGTGTGTATTAGTGTAGTGTGTGTATATAATGAAAGCAGAGTGTTTGTGTAGTGTGCGTAAAGTGAATGCTGTATATACTAAATGCAAAGTGTGTGTGTATATAATGAATGCAGAGTGTGTATAGTGAATGTAATGTGTTTATATAATGCAGAGTGTGTGTTTGTATAGTGTGTGTGTATATAATGCAGTGTGTTTGTGTAGTGTGCATTATATAAACACACTACACAAACACACTGCATTATATACACACACTACACACACACTGCATTAAACACACTACACAAACACACACACACACTGCATTATATAAACACACTACACAAACACACACACTGCATTATATACACACTACACAAACACACACTGCACAAACACACTACATAAACACACACCGAATTATATAAACACACTACATAAACACACACCGAATTATATAAACACACTACACAAACACACTGCATTATATACACACACTACACAAACACACACTGCATTATATACACACACTACACAAACACACACTGCATTATATACACACACTACACAAACACACTGCATTATATACACACACTATATACACACACTACACAAACACACTGCATTAAACACACTACACAAACACACACACTGCATTATATACACACTACACAAACACACTACATAAACACACACTGCATTATATACACACACTACACAAACACACACTGCATTATATACACACACTACACAAACACACACTGCATTATATACACACACTACACAAACACACTGCATTATATACACACTACACAAACACACTGCATTATATACACACACACTACACAAACACACTGCATTATATACACACACTACACAAACACACACTGCATTATATACACAGTGTGTTTGTGTAGTGTATGTGTATATAATGCAGTGTGTGAGGGGGCATTTTTTATTAAATTATTAAAAAAAAAATTATATTTACTTTATTATTTATTTTTGTTGTCCCCCCTCCCTGCTTGTTACCTGGCCAGGGAGGGGGGATATGACAGTCCCTGGTGGTCCAGTGGCATTGGCTGAGCTGGGGGGGGGCAGAGAGCAAGCGCTTACTCACCTCCCAGCAGCTCCTCCAGCTCCCCAGTGTAACTCTCGCGGCCAGCGTGTCGCGCGGAGCGTTGCCATGGTGATCCATGGCAACGCTCTGACGGCCGCGGGTCTCGCGAGCTGAGGAACTGGGGACTTATTCCTTGAGGACCGCCGGGCTTGTAATGAGCCCGGCGGTCCTAGGAGGTATTATCGGCAATATCGGTATCTGAATTGGCCGATACCGATATTGCCGAGAATACCGAATATCGTCCGATTACATCGGTAAAACCGATAATCGGTCGATCCCTACTTTGAATGCACAATTTGCACTTTTTAAAGGGATACTATAGTGCCAGGAATAAAGTCACGCATTAGACCTTTCCTATGGGGAAAAAAAAAAAATCTGTTACCTCTGCCCTGCCAACATTGCAGCAATAGGGACACTGCACTCAGACCACTTCAATGAGCTAAAGTGGTCTGTGTGCCTATAGTGTCCCTTTAATCTTGAAGCTATAAAGAGGTTTTTGTTACCTTCCAATTGCTTCCTCTTCCAAAAAGGCTGCAACTATAAAGGCAACAGCTGCACAGTAAAGACATATAGCACTTGTGCGAGTGGAACTAGGTTATGTATTCTATAAACATTTAATAATTAGGGTGGTGTCGCAGTAACTACATGACAGATGTTATTTATCTGAGAACATAAGGCTTGCAAGAGGAATGTACATGTCACACCTATTACCAATCTGTGGTCAGTGATGGCATCCTGCTTGGAAAATTCTTCCCATTGAAGAAAGGTGGGTGGTGGGGAAACCATCTACGTGAGACTGTTTAAACACCCAGAAACCTTGCACCAGCACTTTAAATGAAATACTGTGTTGAACATCTAAAAGCAGTATGAAATATTACTTAAAGATAAGCTTTAGTCACAAGAACGACAGCTTAATGTAATTCTGGTGGCTAAAGCCTGTCCCTGCAGGCTTTTTAAATGTATGTGTAGCGGACTGGGTCCTATACCAGAGTACGCCCCAGTTTCCTGGAGGGGGCTGCTGGCGCACTTCCTGCCCAGTGATTATTGTAAAGATAGGACCCCTTTAAGTACAATGGCTGGGATTAAGGATGGCACTACCGGCCCTTTAAGACCTAGCCAAGTACAATTACAGAGACTTCGGACCATATACCTTATGCAACAAAGGACATTGAACTATCACAATTTGTGTCTTTTAAGGTACTTTCAGGTATTTGAATGTCTTCGGTTAAATTGCAAGGTTATATGTGGAAATGTATGCAGTATTCGTCTGATTGGTCGGTAGAATCATTCTAGCAATTATGGGAATGAAACTACCGATTATGTCAGCTCCCTCACCGCTCGGCCACAATGGACACAGCCAGTCTGCTGCCAAGTTTTACTTCTATTATGGTGCTATGGTACTCTTACAGACTAGTACTTATGATGCATTAATTATGATGTTCCTTTAATCTCTAGAAACACTTATACTTTTAGAAGAGTTCATGGAGGAAGTAATCGGTATCTACAGCATTTCTGCTGTAGCCACTGCAGATACAGGGGTCTTTGTACTTGTGCTGAGAGATAGTTATAGCACCCTTACCTTATGGCATGGTTTCACAAGAAGATTTCCCAGTTAAGTTATGGCTCATGAGTTGCCAATATATTCAAGAAATTTAGAGATTGGAAAGTAGCAACTAGTATAAGCACTAGTTTAATAACCAAAGTCTGTTTGATAACAAAAATTTAATGTGCCTAGACAGACTAAATTGCATCAGTTTGAATTTATAAAAAAAAACCTCAGTGCTTACTACATGTTACACCTTTTGATAGAGTAAGCCTGTCTAATATAGATATTAAACCAATTCCAGCAGGTTGAGGTAGTGGAAAGTTTATTTACAATGGAGTTACAATGAAAGATAGGGTATGTAAAGAAATTAGATTAAGCATGCTGACCAGATTTAATGAAAAGGGTCACAAAGCTAGCTGAAGATACAAATTTTCTGAAAAACCTGAGGAGTAAGGGAATGTCATATAAAATGTTCACTACCAGTTTACTGTCAACTACCCTACAATTAACAAACCCTTTATAAAATAAAGACACACTTATGTACAATTTGTAAAAAAGAAATTTCTGAACAAAAACAAGAAACTAAGATCAAAAACAGAACTCCCAACAAAAATTAAGCACGTTCTCCACGGATTCTCCTTGCTAGCTGTATATCCTTTGGCATAATGGTTACTCTCTTTGCATGGATAGCACACAAGTTGGTATCTTCAAAGAGGCCAACAAGGTAAGCCTCACTTGCTTCCTAAAATGCAAAAGATCGAAGACATTTAGAAAAGTCTGTTAACACAGAAGAAAGCAAAAACCCACGCTATGTTACCAATACAAACCTGGAGAGCACCAATAGCTGCACTCTGGAACCTCAGATCAGTCTTGAAGTCTTGAGCAATTTCCCTCACAAGACGCTGAAATGGCAGCTTACGGATCAACAGCTCAGTAGACTTCTGGTATCTTCTGATTTCTCTCAGAGCAACAGTGCCAGGCCTTGTTAGAGAAATTGATTAGATTGAAAATTATATAATATTACTAGTGACTGCAGATTATGGTTTTAGTGTGAGCTTCTGAATCCATGGCATATTAACCAAAAAAATTCATAAAGATACAGTCTTCCATGTTAGTACACTAGCTCAAGTAACAATTATAAATAAGGTGCCTCAGTTTAACAGCCTATTTCAAGCCACACTTCATTGAATAGTTGTAGTCACAAGAAAATTCCTAGGTACCAAATTGCAGGTGGCCTGATCTGCATTAATGCCTTGATCACAGCCTTATTTACTAGGGTTGAAAAGACAAGGGGCAATCTGTGTGCAAAGCATTCAGAAGCTCCCTTGATAAAGGCATTTCACCAAAACATTGTTTTTTTATTGAATGTCCCTGCTTCTAACTAGGTCTGGTATGCTTTTTTCTATATGTATTTGTGGGGTTGGATTGTATTGGTATCCCATTTTATTGCCTATGATACTGATATTTTGCTATTCATATATTATGCATTTGGCGAATATACATATACAGAGTTTCTGGTTGTTGCTTTACAACATTATGACTATCTTGTTTTCATGTAATGAGATTCTATTAGTGTGTATCCATTGAATAAAGTTTTTGTATACGAAACATTTATGGTTGTGCTCCTTACTCAGTTTGTATTTGCAAGGCATTCTTGCCAGCCTCACAACTAAAGTTCCTACCTCCATCTAAAGCACAGCCACCCATGTTGTCTCATGTAAAACCAAGTTTGAGAACCATTTTATATAGAGCAGAAGGCACTGGACCAGGGTTTGAGAGGTTTAGTAGTTACTAAGGTAGAGTACTGCAGCACTAGACTTAAAGTGACACTAGGCACACAGACCACTTCAGCTGGTTGTAGTGGTCTGGGTACAGACTCCCATCACCTTTAACATGTGATTATTGCAGTTTATAAACCTACCAGAGAGCCATTAGAGGGACTTACAGTTTGATAGGCAACTTTTCGTCACCTAAATGTTTCTGGATGTCCTCATGCTATGCACGAGGACTTCCTAAAGTCACCGGAATCCCCATAGGAAAGCACTGAGCGATGCTTTCCTGGGGGAAGCAAGTGAGTGGGGCCATTGCTGTGCATTAGATCTCCACCAGCCGATTAGGAACATGGGTGGAGTCGAGCCAGTGCTGAAGGACATTGGCACTGTACACAGGTAAAGGGACACCGTAGGCACTGTATCTTCATCTCATTAAACTGGTTATAGTGTCTGGAGTCCTCTGGTACCATCATTTCTTTCAGCATTAAACAGTTTTTAAAAGTTTTAATGCTAAACAAGAGTCCCAGGCAATCCATCCCCTCTGTGCTGCTCTAGCTAATAAGGAAGTATTAGCCTGAGCAGCAATGGACAGCTGTGATTGGCTGAGAGTTTCAGCTGACTGCTTTTAGCCTGTCAGAGTTCCAACTGACGGTATGACAAGGAAGTGTGTAATCTCTGCCTTAGCTACACATACTGAAGGTGCCGGACTGTGGGTGGCCTGGGACTCTTATTGTGTGGCATACTGCACAAACATGGTTCAACACTGAATGAGGGACAATGCCAGGGCACTCCAGGCACTATAACCAATTCAAAGAGATGAAATGCTTATAGTGACTACAGTGTCCCTTTAAGTGGTATAAGGTGTTAACGAACAGGGGAGAGGGCTTGACAGAGTGAAGCTATAGTGCCAGGGGAAAAAAAGTGTTTTTTCCTGGCACTTTAGTTTGCCTTTCAGGTGCTACTAGCTTTAGTTCACTTAACTGGCGCAGCGATAAGGAAACTGCAAATTCTAGGTTAAATTAGAGTTGGAAAACTCTAGCACAGTCAGTCAATGGAACAATACCACATGTTACTGACTAGCTATAAAACGTTTAGACATTTTGGAACATACCTGTATCTGTGAGGCTTCTTGACACCTCCTGTAGAAGGAGCACTCTTCCTAGCTGCTTTAGTAGCAAGCTGTTTCCTGGGAGCTTTACCTCCAGTAGACTTACGAGCAGTCTGCTTGGTACGAGCCATAGCTTTTCACTTGCAAAACCTTGATTAAAAATACAATAAATAAAATTTAGTACAAATAATCACTCAGAACAAAAGTAACATACACCCTCCATTGTAATTACCAGCCCACCTCCTCCCCCCACAAGAGTAGTGATAGATGCATGATTCTGGTGTCTATAGCAGGTCAATGCAGCCTTAACACTTGTTTTTACAGTGCTTGCTAGTTACAACTATAGTGGCAGTCCCAAAGAAACTAAAGATGCTTTCCAAGTGGCATTTAGTGTCTCCATGTACCTATATAAACACAATAATTCAATTGCTATGAGGAAATGCTGATCGACAGGTGTATTGCTGTGCAAACACCATTCTACAGAAAGCATTAAATTTGTTCAGAACAAAATGTCTTAATTACACAGAGGTGGAGTCAGCAATGGATTAATGAGTAATATAACCTTAAGTATTTAGAGATGGGTGTAGCCCAATTTATTACAGAACAATTTTGTAATCCAGATAGTGTTCCTTTAAATAGGTGAAGCAAATTATTAAGCCAAGAAAGCAGATATATAACAGTTTCCCCAAAACCAGTCAAAGCTCACCTGTTTGCTCAAGTTTCTACAGTTTAGTAAAATCAAACTTTACATAGAGAACGATGGTTTAACAAAAATATATTTAGTAGTTATTAGCAATTAAGTTTGCCAAGTTCAGGACAATATAGCAAGTTAACAGTGAAAAAAAAAAAGTCAAACCGGCCATTTAAGTTTAAAAAAACAAAAAAAAACCCTGCATTTTGTGTTTTAAATCCCTAATATTGTGCATACTGGGCAAGTCACTCCCAGCACAGCGCTCCAGGTTGCTGTATTTATTTTACACTGAGACACAGCATGTATGATGAGCTGCTCACTGCTGCCCCTAGCGCCTACTATGCCACATGGCATGCCTAGCAATCCCCCGCCATTATGTGATTATTATCTCTGGCTCCACATACACTCAACACAAATTATAATAACCACATTGCAACGGTTTATCACCTACAGCCACAAAATCACAGCCTCCCATCACTGAAATACGGAGATAAATAATCCTGCCAGCTCCTGCCCGGCACAGGACGGTCACATTAATAAGATAGAGAATCCAGAAACAAAAGCCTGCTTCAAAAATTACAGAAACACAAAATGGCTTTAGGAGACAGCCAGCCCAGTGTGTGGAGAGAGGCTGGGGCAGGGAGGGCGATATCGGGGCCCCGGGAGGGGGGACACACGGGGAGCTGTGTTAGCAGATGGCGGGTCACCACGGGGGCCGGATCCTCCATTACGCGGCTGGCTCTGCTCACGTCCCGTCTCCTCACACCGAGACAACATGGCGGCCGGGCGGCGCGAGCTCCGGGAGAGGGGGGGGGAGGCGGGAAAACAAAAAACCCCCAGGAAACTGGCCGCATCCCGGAGCCAGGACCGACCGGGAGCCGCCCAGGAAGGTTCTATCAGACCGTTTACCGAGACCTCCTCGCGGTAACGGCGGCCGTTAACCGGTACGGGCACCGGAAACAGCCGGATCCGAGCACACTCAGACTCCAGCGAAGTGCGCCTGGCGGGATATAACACGAGCCGAGCTCGGGGTGAGCTGCGGGGCCCGCGGGGATCACCCCGGGCGGCAGAGAGAGCGATCCCTGAGGTACTCACCGGGCAGGTCACGAGAGCGCGCACACAGCGGTCAAACGAGGCGAGCGACTAACATACCTCGCGCCGCAACCCGGTCTTAAATAGCCCCTGGCGCGTCACCAGTGACGTGGGATCCCTGGGCTCCTCCCACCCCTCTTTTTACGACTCGAAGTCTATGGAACGAGGCGGGGCAGGGAGCGCTCTGATTGGTGGATTGGAATAGGACTGGAGCGCCAAGCCCCTCCCCCCCACTGCGCTGTGTTATATCCCAGGGGCGGGAGATGTAGTCCAAAACATCTGGAGAGTAAAATGTTGCCTGGGCAACAGCAGCATGGAAAATAAATGTAAATAATGGCAGAAGACAGGAAAGGCGGAAATAATAAAGGCTAAAATTCAAATATGTTCTAGAAGTGGTTGATATCTAGTGCACATAAAGCAATGGATCTATCATACTACATATATATACACACATTTATATTACTATATTAATATTATATATATGTAAATTATTATATTTATAACATGAGCTGCCCAATACTTCAACAGCTAGATCATATTTTCCATGTTTAATAATTTCCCAATAATGAACGGGTGGTGACGTCATCTGTGTGACTATTCCCCATAATAAATGGTTATTAATGCAGGGATTATGTCCGCGCATGTTTGGGAACCCTACTTCCAGTGTCTGGGTTTTTATCCAGAATTTGTTGGCGTTACACTCCTGAGCTGCTGTTAGCGACAGCTAAAATAAATGCTTGCAGAACTGTAACTCTCACTAATCTTGGAATGTTCTGAGATTTGTAAATCCTCCCCATAACCCTTATAGTACTCTAATATACTACATTAACCCCTACACGATACCACCGTCACATAATATTAACCCCTATTACACTACACTAACCATTAACCCCTAAACTATACCGGCACATAATATTAACCCCTATTACACTGCACTAACCATTAACCCCTAAACTATACCGTAACTTAATATTAACCCCTATTACACAACACTAACCATTAACTCATAAACTATACCGTAACTTAATATTAACCCCTATTACACTACACTAACCATTAACCCCTAAACTATACCGTAACTTAATATTAACCCCTATTACACAGCACTAGCCATTAACTCATAAACTATACCGTAACTTAATATTAACCCCCCACTACACTACACTAACCATTAACCCCTAAACTATACCGGCACATAATATTAACCCCTATTACACTGCACTAACCATTAACCCCTAAACTATACCGGCACATAATGTTAACCCCTATTACACTGCACTAACCATTAACCCCTACACGATACTGTCACATAATAGTAACCCCTATTACACTACACTAACCATTAACCCCTACACTATACTGTCACTTAATATTAACCCCTATTACACTACACTAACCATTAACCCCTACACTATACTGTCACTTAATATTAACCCCTATTACACTACACTAACCATTAACCCCTACACGATACTGTCACATAATAGTAACCCCTATTACACTACACTAACCATTAACCCCTACACTATACTGTCACTTAATATTAACCCCTATTACACTACACTAACCATTAACCCCTACACTATACTGTCACTTAATATTAACCCCTATTACACTACACTAACCATTAACCCCTACACGATACTGTTACTTAATAGTAACCCCTATTACACTACACTAACCATTAACCCCTACAATGTACTGTCACATAATATTAACTCCTATTACACTATACTAACCATTAACCACTACACTATATGTTCACTTAATATTAACCCCTATTACACTACACTAACCATTAACCCCTACACTATACCGTAACTTAATATTAACCCATGTTACTACTACACTAACCATTAACCCCTACAGTATACTGTCACTTAATATAAACCCATATTACACTACACTAACTATTAACCTCTACACTATACCGTAACTTAATATTAACCCATATTACACTAACTATTAACCCCTACACTATACTGTCACTTAATATTAACCCGTATTACACTACACTAACCATTAACCCCTACACGATACTGTTACTTAATAGTAACCCCTATTACACTACACTAACCATTAACCCCTACACTATACTGTCACTTAATATTAACCCCTATTACACTACACTAACCATTAACCCCTACACTATACTGTCACTTAATATTAACCCCTATTACACTACACTAACAATTAACCCCTACAATGTACTGTCACATAATATTAACTCCTATTACACTATACTAACCATTAACCCCTACACTATACTGTCACTTAATATTAACCCCTATTACACCACACTAACCATCAACCCCTACACTATACCGTAACTTAATATTAACCCCTATTATACTACACTAACCATTAACCCCTACACTATACCATCACTTAATATAAACCCATATTACACTACACTAACTATTAACCTCTACACTATACCGTAACTTAATATTAACCCATATTACACTACACTAACTATTAACCCCTACACTATACCGTAACTTAATATTAACCCATATTACACAACACTAACCATTAACCCCTACACTATACTGTCACTTAATATTAACCCCTATTACACCACACTAACCATCAACCCCTACACTATACCGTAACTTAATATTAACCCCTATTACACTACACTAACCATTAACCCCTACACTATACTGTCACTTAATATAAACCCATATTACACTACACTAACTATTAACCTCTACACTATACCGTAACTTAATATTAACCCATATTACACTACACTAACTATTAACCCCTACACTATACTGTCACTTAATATTAACCCGTATTACACTACACTAACCATTAACCCCTACACGATACTGTTACTTAATAGTAACCCCTATTACACTACACTAACCATTAACCCCTACACTATACTGTCACTTAATATTAACCCCTATTACACTACACTAACCATTAACCCCTACACTATACTGTCACTTAATATTAACCCCTATTACACTACATTAACAATTAACCCCTACAATGTACTGTCACATAATATTAACTCCTATTACACTATACTAACCATTAACCCCTACACTATATGTTCACTTAATATTAACCCCTATTACACCACACTAACCATTAACCCCTACACTCTACCGTAACTTAATATTAACCCATGTTAACACTACACTAACCATTAACCCCTACACTATACCATCACTTAATATAAACCCATATTACACTACACTAACTATTAACCTCTACACTATACCGTAACTTAATATTAACCCATATTACACTACACTAACTATTAACCCCTACACTATACCGTAACTTAATATTAACCCATATTACACAACACTAACCATTAACCCCTACACTATACTGTCACTTAATATTAACCCCTATTACACTACACTAACCATCAACCCCCTACACTATACCGTAACTTAATATTAACCCTATTACACTACACTAACCATTAACCCCTACACTATACTGTCACTTAATATAAACCCATATTACACTACACTAACTATTAACCTCTACACTATACCGTAACTTAATATTAACCCATATTACACTACACTAACTATTAACCCCTACACTATACTGTCACTTAATATTAACCAGACATAGTTAATTCAACTATTAACCCCTACACGATACTGTTACTTAATAGTAACCCCTATTACACTACACTAACCATTAACCCCTACACTATACTGTCACTTAATATTAACCCCTATTACACTACACTAACCATTAACCCCTACACTATACTGTCACTTAATATTAACCCCTATTACACTACACTAACAATTAACCCCTACAATGTACTGTCACATAATATTAACTCCTATTACACTATACTAACCATTAACCCCTACACTATATGTTCACTTAATATTAACCCCTATTACACTACACTAACCATTAACCCCTACACTCTACCGTAACTTAATATTAACCCATGTTAACACTACACTAACCATTAACCCCTACACTATACCATCACTTAATATAAACCCATATTACACTACACTAACTATTAACCTCTACACTATACCGTAACTTAATATTAACCCATATTACACTACACTAACTATTAACCCCTACACTATACCGTAACTTAATATTAACCCATATTACACTACACTAACCATTAACCCCTACACTATACTGTCACTTAATATTAACCCCTATTACACCACACTAACCATCAACCCCTACACTATACCGTAACTTAATATTAACCCCTATTATACTACACTAACCATTAACCCCTACACTATACCGTCACTTAATATAAACCCATATTACACTACACTAACCATTAACCCCTACACTATACCATCACTTAATATAAACCCATATTACACTACACTAACTATTAACCTCTACACTATACCGTAACTTAATATTAACCCATATTACACTACACTAACTATTAACCCCTACACTATACCATCACTTACTATTAACCCTATTATACTACACTAACCATTAAACCCTACATTCTACACTATATTTACACAAATGTATGAGGATTGATAGATAGATAGATCGATCGATAGATAGATATATGAGAGGTATATGGCAGACAGATTGATCTAGAGATATCATACACACACATTTATTGTTGATTATGCATTAGAATTTTTTTATTAATAAGCGTTTTATTAAAAATAATATAGAGATTTATTTTCTTTGCTTTCCAAGTATGCTCTGGGGAGCATTTACCTCATATTTACATACAAATAACAAATTTGAAGTTAAGGATTAGCATTTATATACAGATGCAAATTTCTTTTTTAATTTTTTTTTAAAAAATTGTCTGAAAAGCCTATCCAATGGTATTTAGAAATTAGACCACTTCCCTTTAGTAAGACAGAATCCAGTGTAATTTTGTGTATAAATATGCACACACACTATGTGTAGAGGAAAAACTTTAAACTGATACTTTAAAGGAATCGGTCATGCAAAGATGCAATATAAATAGACAAAGTATTGATGCTATACATTGTGCTACCTAAATGGTTGAAACAGTGTAAATTACAGAAATTCTATATATGTGCATAAATTTAAATTATTTCCACGTTATTTGCACCTTTTCCATAAGAAACAAAGATATGTCTCAAACCC